AGAGAGAGAGAGAGAGAGAGAGAGAGAGAGAGAGAGAGAGAGAGAGAGATTGGTGACATTTGGATCCAGACTCGACATTGGACTTCAGACATTTTTGAAGAGGGATTATTTGGGACTTGTAACAAGACTTGGTGTTGATGACTTTCCCATCTCCCCCTTCCTCCTCTTCGTCTGATCCCCTCCTCTTCGTCTGATCCCCTCCTCTTCGTCTGTGTATGTCTGGACCTTGCGCCCCTTTCCTGTGTATAGCGCCAGGCCCCTTCACACCTTGTGATGAGCATGATGTATGTTTGGTCTGCGTTGAAACATTGATTGGGCTAGTCATTAGTATTCTAGCATTCTGCTTTGCTATCTTGTACTACGTGAAAAAGGTCAGTCCCGGTCAGGTCAGGACTTGTATCCAAATCTTCCACTGCACTATAAAACACCATTTTTGTATGTATGAGAATGTACACTGCTTGTTGAGATTTCACTTGCACTGCATTGCCCATTCAGTCCTTTTCATCACATTGCGGATCCTGGGGTTTACATGTACATCGCCCAACTGGGCATGTAACAGTTGGTATCGGAACACCGCACGTGAATCAGGACAACCTGATCTGACACGTGTGCGGGGACTAGGTAGCTGATTAGTCTTGATTGATTGATTAGAGCACACTAGTTAGCCCCCAAAATCACGATTTTGACCTCACTGCCGAAAATCAAAGTTTTTTGTTCTTTTCTTGGATTTTGTTTTCCCGTGCAAGGAAAATAAGCAACAGCGAGATGACAAATCCAGATTACACCATCACATTGAAAGTCAGATAGTCACACTGTGTCCATTGAAAGCCAGATAGTCACACTGTGTCCAGAGAGTAGCATTGCACCAATTATACACCAATGGAGGTTCGTAGTACTGAAAACCAATGTCAAGGAGAGCTTTCTCTCTCCGCCAACAACGCAAGAGTCCAGTCCCTTCACACTCCTACTTGGCGCTCAACGCCCAGCCTACTCCTACACAGCTACGATCGTCCTACTAATAGACAATGCAACTGTTGACATCAGCGGCAACCCAAAGTACTTGAAGATGTCGCCCAAATGCAGACCATCGCCAATACAAGGTATGTGCCCTCACATCATCATCATCATCCTTCGCCCTTCCCTGACTTTACACCCACGTCTTCCTCCCTTACACCCGAAGACCACTAATGCGCCTCACTGTAGTCCAAGCCCACCAGCTATGGTGACTAGGCTATGCGCCCTGCTTCCCTGCACGACTTGCTGCACCTCGCCTCTCAGCGCCAGCAGCAGCCCACGAGCAATTGCTCCAGCAGCGCTGCCGCTAGCATGCGAGTGCCTGAATGAGGCTGCCAGGGGAGAGCTCTTTCCTTTATGGAAAAAGATGGCCTGCTCGTGCAGCCTGGCTGCAATGGCCCGGGCCCAGAAGCTTTCGAAAGGCCCCAGGATGCTGCCTTTGCTCTGCAGCTACTAGGCCTCGTTCGGTTGGGCCTCCCAACTGTCAGTGTATGAGGCTGCGATTCACGCCCAGGGCCTGCATTCTTTGGAAAGGCCCGGTAGACCGTGGAAGTGTCTTTGTTGCTCGGCCTGTGTTTCTTTCAACCAACTGGCGCGTCGCAACTGCCTGTACCCCATATATGAAATTGACAGTCAAAGGTCTCTTGTGAAATATCAGGCCCGCTTGCACTTAGGGCGGGCACAACTATAACCGGGGCCCCTCAGGCCTGTCGAGGACCCAGAGCCTCGCATTCCCTCCTCCTTTATTTCGTTAGTCCTATGAGAAGTCTCTTATTTTGCAGGCATCTTCCCTTTTCGTTCTCTTTCATAGCCTGCGATCACTTGAGGTGCTGTTCTCAGGAGTTCTTCTCGTGTGAACCAGCGATCTTCCTTGTGCATCAACTACTGCAAGC